CATTGCCAGGAGCTCATCTTCCAACAACGCCACAATCAGTCATGACGAGCCCAATTCGAAGATTCCTGACTCGAAATCGTCGAAAAATATTTGAGAAAACCCAATCCGAACTTTGAGAATGTTTTTTTGATGACTTGCATCTTTCATGAGATTGTCGAAACATTAATATTCTCTCTTAATCCCTGTTATTTTTTCCAATAGCTTAGAAATACTGCAGGAAGTTCACTTTATCGCCTATGATTTAATTTTTGTAAGGCAAATGCATGAAACTAGCTTTGTAAATTTCCATTTATGAGTTTTCTGATCATCTTCAAGAGGGCATCGGGTCAACAGCCCGGAAAATCGAGATTGCACTACATTTGAAGCAGTCTTCCAAATTTTCATGTACACGCAAAAATGTACGAATAAGCAATGTTTTACGACCCATACTAATCATCGAGAAAAAAAGTTGAGTTCATTGCGAAGGTGAATCAAATGAGCGAAACATAGAAGAGAACCTCAATCGAAATAACTTCGGATGCTTTGTTTAGGAACACTTCGATTTGAGAGCACCGATGGAAAATTCTCAAAAACTTGTTTTCATTTGCGCTAAATCGAGAAATTTTTCGAGCAATGTTTTACGACGTCCCTTGTTCATCAATAAAAAAAAAGGTTGAGTTAACCGCAAAGTAGAATCAAATCAGCCAAACGTAGGAGAGAACCTTGATTGAAATGAATTCGGATGCTTTCTTTCGGAAAGTTTCGATTTGAGAGCACAGATGACAGAAACTTCTCAAAAACCTTGTTTTCATATGCGCTAAATTGAATACGATGGAAACAGAAAAACAACCGTAAATTTTAATCCTTGTTTTGCGTGCATTATTCAGGAAAGAGGCACTACGGGAAAAATATTACGAAAAAAAAACCCGCATCCTCTTCGCGCCTATAATAATAATAATTTCATCAAGCGCGTGAAAATGGGAAAGCTGCCATTTTCAAAACTTGTTTTGAGGGCACTACTCGAGTCATATAAAATATTATTTAAAATTCCGCATATGGGCTTAATTAATTTCATTGAACTCGAATGAATGAATGAATGAATGGATCAACAATGAGTCTCAGTCAACAATGACTTAGATCTGGGTGCCGGCGAAGGCGCAGCGCCACTGGAACGACGTTGTCTGGAAGCTTGGGTAACTTGCAACAATCCATTACTTGTCTGTTGTTGTTGTTGTTGTTGTTCTGCTTGTTGTTGTTGTTGTTGTTGCTGCAGCTGTTGCTGATTATTCGGCGGGGATTTTTCCCGCGACAACTCTTCCTCCAAGGCCCGAGTTCGTCGGAACATTTGCACGTAGTTCATCTGGAGCTGCTTCTGGTACTTGATGACTTTCTCCTTTTCCTCCAGCCAATTGGCTCGCTCGGCCTCGAAGTTTTCGCGTTCCTCGTGCAGCTCTCGTCGCACCTCGGCTATATCACGCTCCATCTTGGCCTTGTTGTCCCGCTCGAGAGTGGAGATTTTAGTCGGCGGCTGCGGCGCCATGTGGACGCTGAAGCGTCCCGGCGTCGAGTTGGTCGGCTCGGCCACGATCAGCGTCTTGGAGGCGCCGTGGTGGGGCCTCGGCGGCGGCGGCACGCTGCTGGCAGCCACCGACGGGTTGCCGGGGTTCCCGCAGTACTTGCAGCGTCTCGGCTGGTTCAGCATCGTCATCTGGGGAATTTTCAGCGACAAAACGAAAATGAACGAATGATTCACAGCAGAAAAATTAATCTTTCCGTGTTCACAAAATATGTCTTCAAAAGCATCCTGAGCTTTTCCAGGTTTGAAAAAGAAAACCTTGACCGTATTTTCGAGCAAAAATTTAGCACCGGAAAATTCAATCAAACGTTAAAAAAAACCCTGATCCTGATTCAGCCAACAAATTTCAAATTTTCAAAGTTTTCGCGTTCAAGAACAACTTTAAAAAAAGAAGTAACAAAGAACATCTTATCTTCCTGGAAAAAATGGCAAATCAAACTTGATTCGATTCTCTGTCAAATTATGCGGCTAGTTCATCATCGTCATCTGAGGATTATCAGCGGCAAAACGAAAATGAACGAATGATTCACAGCCGAAAAATTAATCTTTCCGTGTTCAAAAAAATGTCTTCAAAAGCATCCTGAGCTTTTCCAGGTTTGAAAAAGAAAACCTTGACCGTATTTTCGAGAAAAAATTTAGCACCGGAAAATTCAATCAAACGTTTAAAAAACCCGATCCTGATTCAGCCAACAAATTTCAAATTTTCCAAGTTTTCGCGTTCAAGAACAACTTTGAAAAAAAAAAAGAAGTAACAAAGAACATCGCCTCAACGGATTCAGCTATCTTCCTGGAAAAAATGGCAAATCAAACTCTATTCGATTCTCTGTCAAATTATGCCAAGAGTTTTATGGTGAGTTAAAAAATGAGGACTCCCTCGGACATTCGAAGACAATTACAGTACTTGTGTTAAAATGTTTCACCGTAACGAAGCAACCATATATCCATAAAAATTTTTCATGTCAGGACAGATAATTGACTAAGCCGTAACCTGGTGCTTTTTCAACGGCAACATCTGGACCCGCAATGCCTAAAAGTTGTACAGTAAAATGCATTTCTAGCCGATGAAGTTCAAAAAATAAATAAATAAAAAATCGGCAATCACGCTGCCAAGTTTCGATTCACTCTGCTGGAGAAATTCTTCTCGAATGTTTTGGACACCGTGCTCATGGCTCTACTTGAATTTCATGCAAGGTTTCCGACATTTCGATCTTGATTAAATAATTAATAATTCAATCAAGTTCAAAGTCAGAAAAAACCCAATTCAACTTGCTGCTGAGCTAGATCCTCGCGTTCTCTCCGTTGCGAGCATACGAGCTATTCAGTGTTGAAATTTTTCGCTGATTGAAATTTAAATGAAGGTGAAAAAAAATTCAAGGGTCACTTTAAACATTGAAGAAAAGCAGCACTGCGCACGAAGAAACTATTATGACTTTTACACACAGCACGAAAAGAGCAAGAAAAGGGTGTATTCATCGATGGTTATGGAATATGTCCAACAAAAATTTCCGTCCTATGCTTATTTTATGATTAATTTAAATACCGTCTATTGGAAAGTTGCATCAAAAAGCTTGAAAACAAAATTTAAATCATAACCTTTCTCTTATCATCTGTTTATCGTCGGAGCACTTTAATGATTCCAAAATTGCAAATCGAAGGAAAGAGAATCTGCGATGATTGCAACCATTATAGAAGCGTTTCAATGCTAAGAACTATAAAAAATACTAATGTTTAATTTTTTCAACTTACATGGCACCATTAGAAAGCCTCAAGATACGAAGCAATCATTTTTTTTTTAACCATTGCACGGCTTATAATCTGCAATGCAATTTCAAAGAAAATACAGTACCACAATCAAATATTTTGAGCTTCACAAAGTCCGAAGTTAAATTACTGCATTGAAAAAAAGAGAAGGAAATTGCTTCAAAAAAGGTATTTAAAGTACACGAAAGCCTTTGGGTTTCGAGGGATGGATTTTCCAACGTCACGCAATTGCTCCTGGTTCTCTTGCAAGCCAGGTCAGCTGCAGTAAAAAATAATAATAATAAAAAAAACTATGCATAAATTGACAGCAAGAAATGTTTTAAACCGTTAATCGAACAGGTACCGGATCAGTTCTTGCATCTCACGGTCGTAATTCAGAGCCCAGAACTGCTGGGTTGCCGACGGCGCTGCGGCCTTCAAAAGAAAATGAACAATTTCGCGTCAAAGATTCAGCTCAGCACCTGGTCTTGTAAAGTCCGGATCTCCTTTTGCTTCTTTTCCGCGAACGTTTGAGCGTCTCTCAACTGCGTCCTTAAAGCGATCATTTCGTGTCCCTTTGTTGTCTGGTCTCCTTGGAACTCCTTCAGCTGACACTTGAGCAACGAGATCTCGCCGTTCTGCAGAAGCAAAGAAACGCTCGAGTGAACTTTCGAGTACTGTACTGTGCAGAAACAGGGAGAATTTCTCTACAATAATATTCTGCAGAACCAGCGACAACAACAAAAAAAAGAATAAAAAAAAAACGTTCCACGGAGATTAATTTAAAATATCTGCTGCCAAACTTGGATAAAAAAAAAGGACTGCAACGATCAGGAAAAACTTCTTCGCGTAGAACAAATCACCCTAGAAAAGTAAAAACCCTTCCCAGGACGCAAAATCAGAGAACATTTTGACGGAAACTGTGGCCCATACAAAAAATCTATCAATAGTTGGAAAAATCCCTTCATTGTTGAGTTGATGAATACATTCTGATTGCCGCAAACCAGATTATAAACTCTGATACTTTCTTTCAGATTACATTCATTAATGTTGAGAGAACGAGGATCATCAGTCGATCTACGAAACGGTTGGGATTTAAAGTTTTGAAACCGGAAAAAGGGACCAATTGCTGATGGAGAATTTAGCCATTCGTAAGAGGCACTTGGGACGAAGAGGGACTTTGCATCGCTTTTCCGTTAATTTATTTTGACAACACTTTGCGATGCCTTATATTCTGACAATTACGTACAGTATTCTACGTTATGATAAAATCTGCAACAATATTTCCAACAGTATGTACATCTTTTGATGTCAAGGCCGGGAGCAAACAAGGGCCAGTCGAAACGAAAAAGAGGAGGTGGAATTACAGTTTTTGAAATCGGAAAAATCGACGAATTGACGGAAAATTCAGGATTTGTAGGAGACTCTCGTAAGGCACTTTGCTTTATTTTTCGATTAACTTATTTTTAATTACACAATCTGATTTAATGCGTTACTTCAGACTAAAGTATATGAGTTGACGTTAAGCCCTGAAGAGAACAAGGGCCAGTCGAAACGAAAAAGAGGAGGTGGAATTACAGTTTTTGAACGCGGAAAAATCGAGGAATTGACGGAAAATTTAGGATTTGTAGGAGACTCTCGAAAGGCCCTTTGCTTTAGCTTTCGACTCATTTATTTTCAATGACACAATCTGATTTAATACGGTACTTCAGACTAAAGTATATGAGTTGACGTTAAGCCCTGAAGAGAACAAGGGGTCAGTAGAGAGAGAAAATACATAGGAGATGATTTAAAGTTTTGCAACCAGGAAACTTGACAAATGATATACGCCGAGGATTTTCACGCGAGACTCTCGGGAGGGTCTTCCCTTCAGCTTTTCTTTTTCATTCCCCCCCCCTATTTTGACAACATTTCTTGATGCATTATCCCCTATGAAGGTTCACCTTTTGGCACATCGCCCATTCCGTTTCCTCCAGCTGCGTCCTCAAAGCCTGCATCTCCTTCTTGATCAAAGCGTTCTGACTCTCCAGCAAACCTTTCTCACGACGCAGCTCCTCGATCTCGCATCTCTGCTTCCGCTTCTCTTGCTGGAGCTGAAAAAAAAGAAAGAATAAATAAATAAAACCTCCGATTGGGTTTGAAGAAACAACAAGAATGCTACAATGGCTTTTTGAAAATATATAGGATGAAAATCATTGCACGAAAAACAAAATTTCCGGCGAGATAAAATTCTAATCCCGAGGAAAGTGGAGCAGGAGCGGTTTATCCTCCCTCCTTTCTAGAGAAAGATAAGTTATCGGCAGCTTTTGATTCCGTGACGAAAGCAATGTTTGCGCAGAAAAATTCGCCGCGTTTCAACACGGCCAAACACAAAGGCATTGATTTTAACCGATTGCCAGCAGTCGGCTCAAACAAACATGCGACCGAGCAGCGAAAGATTAAATCGATGCGTGAATCCAAAGAACGGCCGGAGCGCAGAACGTGACTGAACAACGCGGCGAAGAAAACATACAGTAAATAAATTAAAATAAATTCCGCACAGAGACGGTGAAACGACGCAAAGGAATTTTATCTCGAGACGTCTTGTAGTTATTTATTAATTTATTTTATTTCCACAGTTCCTATGCGTTTCTTGGACGGAATTGATCGCAATTTAAAGTTTAAAAACTTTGCTGAGAAGAAAATGAGCTTTATTCATTCATCGCTAGAATCGCGAATATATGATTTTTTTCGAGAAGTCTCGAACATTCAAATATAAAATTTTATTTAAAAAAAAAAGAAAAGGTAGGGTACATCGGATGAAGATGAAAGACTCTGACATCATCCAAATGACGAGGAGGGTTTGGCACCCAGCAAAGGAATGAGAAAGTTCTCGGCCTTTTCATGGGCGAATCCATCAAGTGCAGTTCATTCACGACTATAATCTAATTTAAAATAAACACAGGAATATTCTCCCTGAAAAGCCACAATTTTCTTCCCTCAACACTCTCATTACCACGGAGAGTGCATATATTTCCTTCCCATTTTTTTTCAAGTACTAACCACGATTTACAGTCCAAAAAAGGCAGAGAATTTTTCTTTTAAAATTTTCTCCATGGCGCCTATCACTTTTCGTGGTCACGATTTTGTTTTCGTTTCGTCACATCTGTCTTAGAAACATCACATTGATAAGCGTAATAATTTATACGTCTTTTGGTTTCATTTTGTCATATCTACCTTTGACATTTCATATTTATACGTGGATTAATTCAATCACCGTTTTGTCTTTGAATAAGTAGCGCGTAAATCAAACCTGCATATTAAAAACCCAGCATGTCCCTTTCAAACTTACGTATTACATTATTTTCAAGCCGGACGAACCCAACCGACTACTTTCAAAAACTAGCCTCTATCATTTTAACCGAACTTCACTTACGTGAATCGGATTTAATTTAATAAAGAATGTGGAGATCTTCTGTGATATTGTGCAATAAAACGGAAACTACCGCTATCAAAATGCGTCGTTTCCTCCGATTTAAAGACAATTTCAGTTCAATCTCTATTTCGTGTTCCTCGCCAAGACTCGGTGAATAAAGTTTTGATTCAAGGAATAAAAATTCCGATTGCCTGCGGCACAAGATGCCTCATTTCCAATTCCTACCCACGCATACGCTCTGGAACCTCGGGGGAAAATGAAGCAATCATGATGAGGACCGAAAAGAATCGATTATTGCCGAAGGTACCCTCTGATCACATTCCAAGGTTCTGCGAGGCAAACGTGCGTTATGAAATAACGCATTGAAACCGACTCGACACCAACGATCAATCGTGGAAATATTCTCCAATATGCAGGCAAACAACGGGAGAATTCATCAAGGCAAAGCCAAAATTCCGGCGTGACAAATCGGAGAACCTACGCAATAATTTGAAAAGCGTTTTAGCTCTTTTTTTCCGAATCCTTGTGCGGGTAATTTACAATGAAGGTTATCGCTTCGCTCATCAATAAGTGTCACATATCGTTGCGATTCTAACACAAGAGAGGGGGGGGGGGAGGAGATGATTGAATTCCGAAGGTGATTCAAACGCAGGTTCCTCGACTCGGACAACGTAAAATTAATCACGCCACGGCGTTTCCAAGGGGTTGAACCTCATTCCGAACGTTGCCCGGTCTCAATAACTCGCTCCGCGAAAAATGAGAACATCTTCATTAACCCGACACCGCCTTACTCTCCAGTCAGCCAACTAAAAATAATTACGAGCAATCTCGCTCGAACACCGATTTTTTTCCCTGACCCTCATCATCCGACCAGCGCGTTGTTCATCACGAAGTCGCGAGGAAAATTGCCCGGAAAGGTTTCTTTGGTTTCTGCCAACAGCCCTTATATCCCCCCCCCCCCTTAACAATCCCGTTTGTTTACCAGCCTCGGAAAGAATAGAACCGTCCACGAAGAAAGAGAACCTGACCGGGGAGTATAGAGAAAACTCCATTATACAGGGCAATTCAAAATGGTCACCTATTTTGAGAAGAAAATGCCGCATTTAGCCTCCAACAATTATATTTGTTCACCAGCATCAGCAGAGCCGAAGGAATGGAACTGCCCATGAGAACAAAAAATTAAACCTGCTCTGAGAGAAGAGGCTCTTTTGTATTACTGTACGTGAAACAGCAGAAATAGCTTCAATTTTTAAATGAAAAGGCAAGACTCACATGACGTGCATTACATCAGAAAAATAAGCATTTCCCTGAATATCTTCAGTTTCCTTCAAGATTTGTTGCGGCCTATGGCTCTTCTTTTCTATTCAAAATTGTTCATAAAAATCAGGGTGCGGCCGATTCTTCGAACATTTCAGAAGAGAGAAGAAGCTCCAGAAAATGACAAAATACAAGCAAATTGAGCATCCGCATAAATCTGAAAAACTTCAATTTTACCCCCCTTCTCACCCATAAAAATTCATTTGATCTCTTCAACATCGCGTGCAAGAGCAAAGAAATATCTTTCGCCACAAAACCCCTAACGAAGGCTACGTAATATTGCGGTGTTCCTGGAATTTTCTGAAACACATTTGCGTGCTTTGGAGAGTTTCAAGGCGATAAATCACCCAGGTTCAGCAGAAAAACGTAAAGCACTGCTCAGCAATCATTATCCATTTCAATGCACCCATCAACCGGATTGCACAGCTTCGAGCGATTAAAATAATTTCCCTCGTTGGAAAAAAACAGCGTTGAGCATGTTGAAAAAACGACGGATCACTTCGCAAAGTTAATTAGCCCCGGGGACGCGGTGTGGCAGGGCTGAGAGTCAAGGCAAACCAGAGGTAATAACGCCAACGCCGTTCGTCCCATTCTTCCGATAAGTCCCGAGAAAGTACGACCGCAAAAACGCCTTCGCCAAAAACTAATGGAATTGTGAGCCACCGCAAATTAGACCTTATAAAGAGAATGATTTTGCCTATAGGTAGCCAATATCAAGAGAGTTCAGGGCTCTTCTAGGTTTCAGCAAATCTGATGACTTGATTCCTTCTGCGTCGTTCAGGACGAAGCGAGCGCTAAGATAACTGAACGCCCTTCAGCGGTAATCATGATGCTGAAAATTCGTGTATCCTCTGGAATTTAGAATAAATCGCCTTTTTATCTTTAAAAAACCAATATTTCAATGAATTGCTGTTTTTTTTTACTAAGTAAAAGAAAACAAACTTGTCAAGAGGAAAGATGAAATTCACAGAACGAAAGTAAAACCTTGCGTTTGTTCAGCCTGATATCTTCAGCTGATGCAGAAATCGGTTATTTAACTTCCACACAATCGCCCCATTTTCTTCAACTCCATCTTGGAAGACTTTTAACCTAAATATTATCAGACTCTAAGACGAATTTAAAAATCCATGATTCATGACCATTATTCCTTCAAAAATAACCGCGATGCTGATTTTCATTGAATTTTTTATTCAATTCCCAATCAAAAGTTTGAGTTGACCAATTGGAAATAGCAGGCTCGTTATGCAAAAAAATGTAATACGCAGTCAGAGGTAATGCATACTCAAATCCGAGCATAACATTAATTATAATTTTTTAGAACCCCATGAGATACTTCTTGTGCTTACGCATTGCCGCAGTAATATCGTGACGATTGAAAATTCGCCGCTTTTTACTCAACCGATTGTTCGAATTGAAAATAGATCACCCGGTTGATGGCATATATACAGTTTTGTAAAACGCCGAATTATTTTCTCAAGAACCCTCACTTTCAAGAGCAAATTTTTTTCTAGAAATAAGGTGCGCCTTTTACTTATACTGTAGCAATTCCAACAAATAAGATAATGATCTCCATATCGACAAGAATCTGGAGATTTACTGCCTGTAGACAAATGAGACGAACTCGGCCGAATGCTTCTCTTGAGATGCTTATGCAAGCAATAATGAATTAACTCAAGAAAACATTTTTCATGAAATAACCGAGAAAAATATTTCATTCCATCGGATTCTTCTTTCACTCATTTTCCTCGGACTATAGATCCGAAGTACGGATCCCACCATCTACGGGCTCTGCGGCCTAAATTGTACTTAAATACTAGGGTTGTCCGAATTGGACGTGGCCTTTGGTACTTCCGGAGTAGGTATGATTGAAAAGAATCCTTACATTTCCCATGATATTTTAAGGTAGTGTTACCCAACCTTTTTGGACACACAGACTGACCAATTTCCGTAAAATATTTTGTAGGCTGACAAATTTTCAAAATTTTTTTTGCGGATCAGCAATGTCTATTAAAATGTTTGGAAACTCAACAAATTCTGCACAAAAGACTTTAAGGTAGGTATTGAAAGATTTTCCGCTTTTTAGTTTCACAGAAATCAACTTAAAAGGCATTGAAGCAGGTATAGTGAAATGTCTCCAAAAACTTGGTCAGGTGCAGTTGAAAAAAGGTTTCTCACGCAGAATAAAAAATAAAAAAAATTTATTTCAGCAGGTGAACATTTGTCTGAAGTCTTAATATTAGGAGATAAGCCCACTTTCATTTTTTCATCAGATAATTTCAACTGGCATTGTCTTTCCAAACTTTCAGATAAAGATAGCAGCAGACTTCATTGCTACTTTTGATAAATGTATTATATGCTGATGGAGAAAATTTTCCATGTCCTCCGTACAACCCTTGTAAACCCCTTATAGGCCGCACCCCAGGATTTCCTACGCTCTCAAGGCCCACTTACAAAAGAAAGTGCGGCCGACAGTCGCGGGAATGTTGTGAAAATTAAGGCATGGCTTCTCCTTCCGCTCGCCTGTGCATCACGAATGCTGAATGACTTACTGCCCTCTTTGAACGAGGTGATGCTTTCTGGTCTAGTGGTTGATCCGCAGAGATCCAATCATTTCCCGCGGTTGCCAAGCCCCGTTATTATTATTATTATCATTATTGTTATCGTCATTATTATTTTTCCTTCCGGTGGCACCCTGAACGAGTTTGCTCCTTGGCAGCAAGGCTAGTAGTCTTCCCGCGACCTGTTCTGGCTCCTGTCAGGGGGCTTCGGCGGAGAAATTAACCGAGCACCGAGATGAATGCCGAGGCGTGATGAACAGCCCGGGCCTCTGCCGGGCGCCGGAATAAATCAGTATGTGCATATACGAGGAGTTATTCCCCGCCGACTCGTGCGTGATGCATTCCTTTCTGCCCGCGTGTGCGAGTCGCTTGCTCAGCAGAACGAGGCATGGGATCTTTACAATCTCCACTCTTCCGACGACCTCTCTCTCTCTCTCTCTCTCTCTCTGTCCTGTCTTCCGTCGAAAGTCCCTTTTCACCGTACGTATTTANGAGTTATTCCCCGCCGACTCGTGCGTGATGCATTCCTTTCTGCCCGCGTGTGCGAGTCGCTTGCTCAGCAGAACGAGGCATGGGATCTTTACAATCTCCACTCTTCCGACGACCTCTCTCTCTCTCTGTCCTGTCTTCCGTCGAAAGTTCCTTTTCACCGTACGTATTTACTTGAGTACTGTACCACCACCACCACACGCGTGCCTTTTTTCTTCTCGTTTCAAAAATTATATGTAATAAAAAAAGAGGGTGCACGACATACTTGTATACAGGTCGGGCACCCTCTTTCCCTCTCTCTCTCTCTCTCTAGTCCAGTGTTCCCCAACCCGTGGTCCGCGGACCGGCCCCGGTTGAGTTTTTTGATGGTCCGCGGGAAATTTCTTCAGGTTAATGAATTTTTCAAAAGTAGCAATGAAGGACGTTAGAGTGTCTTTATCTTAAATTTTGGCAAGACAATGGCATTTAAAATTATCTCATGGAAAATATACCTTGGCATTTCAGACAAACTATCGTTCA